TGGTACATGCCTGTAATCCCAGCTACTTGGGAGGCTGAGGCAGGAGAATCACTTGAACCCGGGAGGCAGAGGTTGCAGTGGCTCACCCTTGTAATGCTAGCACTTTGGGAGGCCGAGGCAGGTGAATCACCCAAGGTCAGGAGTTCGAGACCAGCCTGGCCAAGACAGTGAAACCCCGTCTCTATGAAAAATACAAAAAAATTAGCCAGCCATGGTGCCTGTAACCCCAGCTACTCAGGAGGCTGAGGCAGGAGAACTGTTTGAACCTGGGAGGCAGAGGTTGCATTGAGCCAAGATCACACCATTGCAATCCAGCCTGTAATCCCAGTTACTTGGGAGGCTGAGGCCAGAGAATTGCTTGAATCCGGAGACAGAGGTTGCGGTGAGCTGACATCACACCACTGAACTCCAGCTTGGGCAACAGATCAAGACTCCATCTCAAAACAAAATAAACAAACAAAAAGAATCCCTGAACCAATGTTGACCACTAGAGTGCTCTCAGGAATAGGCCTGCCTTAGTGTCCCCTCCAAGCTTAGTCACTAGCTAGGTACAGTCATGAGAACTGTGGCCTCAGAGCAAAAGCACTGATGGATTTCTTCAAGTAGTTGGAGGCCTTGGTCAGTTGTACCTGCAACTGAAGGACAGTGAAGCACAATCTTGTGGGCACCACAAGAACAGAGAGGAAATCCTGGACCAGATCGTGGAACTTGAACCCTAACCTGTAGGTAGGGGATTCTAAATTTGAAACTGTTTTCATAAATCAGCCCAGATTTCTAATTTCTCTCAATCAATCAACAAGACTGGGCCAAAATTGAGCCGAGTTCGACATAACCCCCATCAATCCCTCTTAAACTGGGCCACATTATTGATTTATATAACTTTTCTGTTCCTGAATTTGGGAACTATGATCCAGACAACCCCTATCTTTACACAGGAAATTAAAACTCCTAGCACCTGTGTGATACTACTCTGAAGGTTACAAAGAAGCAAAGACAGAACTAGAATCCAGATGTCCTTATGAGAAGCTCTTTTCAATATTACTTTTATGCAGCCTTACCAAACTGTTTGCCCTAACATCAGCATCAATGTTAACATGGCTGTACACCACCACTGACCAATCACCAACCCCATCACAGTACCCAACTAGTCAAATATGTCAAAAGGTAGCATGATTTTTTCATGTGCCTTGTTCACTGCCACACTTAGACCGTGAATTCTCCAAGTCTCCAGAAAAACAGAAGTGGTTTTACACTCTATTTTCATCTTAATGCCACAGGGATGTGAAGGTTAACTGCCTGTGAAGTACCTGATCCCCAAAGGTCAGGATTGATTCTGCCCTGCTGGTTACGAAAGTGTCCTCTACCCTTGGCCAAACAGACTAACCTGCCCCATCATAGAAATTGTTCTTAGATTAAGTTCAGAAGTACGCATCACTGCCAGAACGTCTGACCTATTTCTCCACAACACAGCTCTCTTCCCCTTACTAAATATGCATTTATACTAAAATATACCATTGACCTTGTTTTCTATAATAAAATTATACACAATGATTCAGAACTTCATATCCTACTAACATAGATCACAATAGTCATTTTCATAGAATACTGATAATTCTATGGAATGCAATTTGAGGACATTAAAAGCCTTCTTCTTGGGCATGAAATCTTACCACATGCAAGCCTGGCCCTGAAAGTATAATTTCCTTTAGTCCTATTTACGGGGCCTATGATTAACCTGCTGCTCCCCATCCTCTTCCCTCATCCCTGGGTCACATGACTACCAAGTCCAAGGATGTCTGCCACCTTCTCGCATCGTGCCCTTTCCTACAACTGCCACCAAACTCAGCTGACAGCACTATGAGTATCACAGAGCTTCAATGGCTCAAAGTCTCAAGTACCTGAACACGGAACCTGAGGAGGAAAGATCTTTAGCACTTCCCCCAAAAGGTATAAGAAACATTACTTCAGACTCTCCCCTCAAGTATAGCAATGTTAACACCCCCAGCCCCATCTCACATGCCAAGAATACACCCTAGAAATTTGCTTCAGGGATGCTGGCAAGATAGCTGAATAGCAACAGCTCCAGTCTGCAGCTCTCAGTGAAATCAATGCAGAAGGCAGGTGATTTATGCATTTCCAACTGAGGTACCCAGTTCATCTCATTAGGACTGGCTGGACAGTGGGTGCAGCCCACAGAGGGCAAGCCGAAGCAGGGTGGGGCGTCGCATCACCCGGGAAGCGCTAGGGGTCAGGGAACTCCCTCTTCTAGCCAAGGGAAGCTATGAGGGATTGTGCCGTGACGAACAGCGCACTCCGGCCCACATACTGTACTTTTCCAATGGTCTTCCCAACCCACAGACCAGGAGATTCCCTCTGGTGCCTATGCCACCAGGGCCCTGGGTTTCAAGCACAAAACTGGGTGGCCATTTGGGCAGACACCAACTAGGTGCAGGAGTTTTTTTTTTTCATACCCCAGTGATACCTGGAAGGCCAGAGAGACACAGGACCAATCACTCCTCTGAAAAGGGGGCTGAAGCCAGGGAGTCACGTGGTCTGGCTCAGCAGGTCCCACCCCCACAGAGCCCAACAAGCTAAGATCCACTGGCTTGAAATTCTCACTGCCAGCGCAGCAGTCTGAAGTCGACCTGCGATGCTCGAGCTTGGTGCAGGGAA